GAGTGTGTGACTGGGAACCCAGTCACATCTTGTCCGTTTAAGTTTCTCTTCGCCGGGGGGTACGAAGGAGCCTTATTATAATGTCAGGACCAGCATAGGTGCGATACCAGTATGGGTGAGGTAGAACGAGGATAATAAGGCTACCGAACTATGTATGTAGGAAGGAGGCATGATATAGTAGGGGATGCCTCCTGCCAAGGCACTAGGCCATAGGGCTGAGTAGTGTGTCAAGGGTACGCTCGTAACAATAATAGTAACTTTCTTAGTTTCTACTATAAACCTTTATTAAGACTTTACGCTAGAAAGATTATATAAGTTTATACATTTTATATCGATCTAGAGTTCTTACTATAATTTAATTTTAGACTTTAAGACTTTATTAATAGCAGCTAGTTTCTAAGTATATTTTTTTTTTTTAATTATTATTTCGACCTTTTAAATATAATATAGACTCTTTTTATCGTATAAGAAATATCTCTAAAATATAAACTCTATAGCGTCTATAAAACGACGTCGAATAGCGGATTTAATATAGATCTTATCGGGCTAACGCTATTATCGTATTTATTCTCGTTAAGAGTTTAAGACTATATTAATCTTATCGATCTAGATTATATTCTTTTAATTTTCTATAATTTAATCTTTATATTATAAAGCGAATTAATAATAAGCTTTTATTTAAGTTATTAAAAAAGGCGGATTTTTAATAGTTTTAACTAATCGAAAGTTATTATATTTAAGTACTCGTAGAATTATTATTAAAAAGATTTCTTACTTAGTAGCTAGTATAAAAGAGATTTTTTTATAATTATAGCGATTCTTTCGTATAGCGGCTAAAATAGTATTTTTAAGCTCGGGCGTAATAATAGAGAATCGTCTAGATCTAGAAGTATCGAATATATATAATAATAATAGCTTTTTAGATATAATAGAATTATATCCTCTATTACGAGCTTATTATTTTAGACGATTAACGATTTAATAAGAGATTTCTATAATAATCGTAACGATCTTCGCTATAATACTATATTCGATTAAAGTAAGTATTTAAAGTCTAATTTCATCGTTATAATTAATACTTTAAGTATTAAATATATTAGAATTAGAGAGTAATAAGAAGATATTTACTTATTATACTAGATATATATTAAATATATATTAAAATTCTTTATATTCTTCTTCTATTTCTCTATTCTTCTATTAGCGTAAGTATATATAATATTAATATCGCTATTATCGCTATAATATATATAGTAATATTATAATTATATATCTTATATATATATAATAATATCGCTATTATATATTATATATATATATATTATATATAGTAAGTATTAATATCGCTACTATATAAAGTATTAATATTTAAGATATTAAGAATATTTACTAAGAATACTAAGAATACTAAGAGTTTTAGCGTATGTGTAGAACTTTCGATATAGATTTCTATATATTATTAACACATAGAATTACTTTCTTATTTTCTATTAAAATTTTAAAATTTTATTTTAAAATTTTAAAGCGCTATTTGCGCTTTTCGAATTTTTAAGAATTTTGAAATTTAGTCTGATAATTATTAAAGCGTAAGGAATTCAAATATCGCTTATTAAAGTTCGCTTATTAAAGATCGCTTATCTACTTACTCGATACTCGATAGCTCTAATTAAAAAAATAACTATAAATTTAATTTATAGGCCTTTACTCGTATAATAGAATAAAATAAAACTAAGTTATAAAATTTTAAATTTATATATATAGTTAATTATAAATTTAAGTTCGCTATACTCTTTAATTAAATCGACTAAGTTAGCCCGCTAATTCTCTCGAGCTCTCTTATTAAAAAAATAAATATATATTATTAATATATAAAATAACTTTTTTATTTTCTATTAAAATTTCAAGATTTCTTTTTAAAATTATAGAATAAAATATAAGCTTTTAGATAAAAAAGAATTTCTAAATTTAGTCTTATAATTATTAAAGCGTAAGAAATTCAAATATCGTTTATTAAAGTTCGCTCGATAGTCGAATAGCTTTAATTAAGTATACTTTATTTAATTTTAAAATAACTTTTTTATTTTCTATTAATATTTTAAGATTTTTATTTTAAATTATAGAATAAAATATATGCTTTTAGATAAAAAAGGAAACTTTAAATTTAGTCTTATAAATATTTAAAAATAGAAGATTTAAATATCGCTTATTAAAAACTTATTTACTTTATTAAGAATACTTCTTTATATAAGCTTAGATAGTCGAATAATAATAATTTTAATAAATTTCAAAACTACTTCGCTTCGTCTTCGATTTAAATCTATTAATCTCTCTTATTAAAAATCGTAAAATCGTAAAAATCGTAAAATTAATAAAATTTTTATAAATAATAATAATAATAATAATAATAATAGTAAAGAAAATGAAAAGACTATAATAGATATTAAAATTAACTTCTTATTAATTAAATTTAAATTACTTTAAAGTTAATTAACTTTCTAGAAATCTATTATTAATATAACTTCTCTTTTTTCTATTAAAATTTTATTACTTTTTTTTTAAAGTTATAGAACTTAATCTATACTTTCTAATAATTTAAAAAATTTTAAATTTAAATTTATAATTCTAAGTAAATCTTAAAATTAAAATAACTTTACTCTTCGAAGTTCGAGAATCGAATTTAATCTCGAAATTAGATTTAAAAAAAAAAAACTTTTTTAAAAATTAATTTTAAAAATTAAATTTTTAAATAATATTATTATTATATATCTATATCGATTCTAGTAAAACTTTTATAACTCTTTTTTTATTCGAAAGCGTAAATTATAATCTATAATTAAAAAAAAAAAAATTTAGTAGAAATAAAAAAGTTATTCTATTTATAAATAACGTATATCTATTTTTTTAATAAGAAAGCTCGAGAGAGCTAGCGAGCTAAGTTAGATAGTCTAGCTAAAAAGCGTAATAACTTTAAATTTATAATTAATTCGAGTGAATAATCATAATCTGACTATGATTTTCAAGAAAAAAATCTGATTTAATGATTTTTACTACTGAGCCTATCACGGGTTACAGCTGACTGGAACTGGGCCAATTGTAGTCACTATGATAGGAACACGATGGTGAGAGCATTTGAGCCCCGATATTTGGCAATGATTATTCATATACGAAGTGGAGGATTTTCGTTCTCTCCTCCCTCTCGCCTTCGATTCTACAACTACCCTTGAGCAGCCGACTGCAACAGTGCTCGTCCGCATTCAAATCGACCGTAGCTCACACAACGCCCAAGAATATTCGATCATGGGGAGTCTACCATCCCCCCGACCTCCCCAAACCCTGGGTCTCGACCCCTCTGATCGAGTCCGCCGCTCTCTCCAAAGCTGCAGGATGGTACACACACCCATCACCCTCCGACGGCCTTTCCCCACACCGCTGACCAACCCCCCCCCGGACAGCCGCATCTTCCTCAAACTCGAAAACCTCCAGCCCGCCGCCTCCTTCAAGTCCCGCGGCATCGGCAACCTCATCCGCCGCACCCTCCTCACGCACCCGACCCCCCCACCTCACGCACTTCTACTCCTCCAGCGGCGGCAACGCCGGTCTCGCCTGCGCGACGGCCGCCCACGCCCTCGGCCGCCCCGCCACGGTCGTCGTTCCCGTGACGACGAAGCCGCTGATGGTCGCGAAGATCAGGAATGCCGGGGCGACGGACGTGGTACAGACGGGCGCCAGCTGGGCGGAAGCCGATGCGTACTTGAGGGAAGAGTTGCTGGGGAAGGATAGGAATGGGGTGTATGTGCCGCCGTTTGACCATGAGGATGTGTGGGATGGTGCTGCTACGATAGTGGAGGAGTTGGAAGAGAAGCCGGATGCGGTGGTCTGCTCTGTTGGTGGTGGAGGGCTGTTTTGCGGCGTGATGCGGGGACTGGAGAGGCGGGGTTGGGGGGATGTGAAGGTCTTGGCTTTGGAGACGAGAGGGGCCGAGAGTCTGCACAAGAGTTTGGTAAAGGGCGAGTTGGTCAGGTTGGAAAAGATTACGAGTATTTGTACCAGTCTTGGAGCGACGCGGGTTGGGGAGAAGACGTTTGAGTACGGGCAGAGGAAGAGTGTGAGGAGCGTGGTGCTTGAGGATCGAGAAGCGGTGATGGGATGTTGGCGACTGGCAGACGATGAGAGGTTGCTTGTCGAACCGGCTTGTGGGGTCAACGTGGCGCTGTGCTACGATGGCCGATTGAAGAAATTGTTGCCGGAGCTCACGGCCGAGAGTAAGATTGTGGTTGTTGTGTGTGGGGGGGCTGCTGTCACGCTTGAGTTGCTGATGGAATGGAGGGAGAGGTTTGGGCTCATGGAGGGAGAGACGACAAAGGATAAGGAGGTCCCGAGCACTGTGGCGACAAATGGCCATAATCAAATGAGTGATGGAGGAAGTGCTGTGAAAATGTTGGAGCTTCTAGTACAACGTAAGTACCATTTCATTTAAATAGAGGGACCGTGTGAAAAGCATAGATTCGAGTCAGACGAAAGAACATTTTACAGTCCTTAGCTTCGCGTTGAGATATACTTGACAAATTGCGTGACCGAGAACATTATGATCGTGAGTTCACACACCCTCAAAGACACATCACAACAGCTGTAATCTATACACAAAGACATTGTGATAACAATTTACAGAACATTCTGCTGCGACTCAAACCCTATCAGAACATTGAAAAATAATAATCGCATGGCTACTTGAATATACCGACGACCCAACTGGGGCAACATTTCCGAAGGAGCGGAGTCAAGCAACTGACGGTGCGATCGCGTTGAAAAATTCCTTTTCTCACCGAGCAACCGGGCTGCAAAACACAGGCAGCGACCTGAACCGGATGCATGCAGGTTGCAAAAATCACCAGGCGATCCCAACCACTTCATTCATATTCCGTGAAACCGATCGGATTCCTCCCCATCTCGTCGCAACCCTCTACTCTAAGAACCCCCAACGCATTCCCAGCTCAAACCCTTTACGAATTCCCGCCTCGAGCAGCCGTCCGCACCGCATCTCCGCATCCAGATACAGCTGCATAATCTCTCCCACCGTGACCTGCCCTCATTCCATGCACGTTTCGTCGAGAGCGAAAGAGCTGGGGACTTTGGACGGCCCTTGGCTTTGGGTCGTGGAGAATGGACGCATGGGTCTTTGCGGAGTGGGCTCTCGGCACGAGACCGTTGGCGTGGGCGTTGATGTTCAGAGCTGGAAGATGAAGGGATTTTTGTCGTGATGAAGGAGCTGCACAGGTCTTTGTGGATGACGCGCAGTCGACGTTCGTCGACTTCGATAACTGGAAAACGGGGTCAATTGCAAGGATGGATTGGAGCTCGTTGCATTCGAGGGGTGTTTTAGCAGAGACCGTCCATCTGAACATGTTGTGCGCGTCTTCGCTTTCCGATCGGTTTGCGATCCCGAAGAAACGGAGTGCAATACGCATTCATTGACAGAAATTTGTTTTTACAAAGCGTAATTGGACACCTTCAATCCGACTTCCCTTTCTCACTCGGTCCTCGATGCCTCCGTCTCCCCTTTCTACTGACCCATTCTGCCTACACGGCAACTGGATGCAACTCGACCTGCGCACAGCTACTAGGAATCCCCGTCGGAACAAAGAAAAACTCCCAAAAGAGCTGCGGGACGCCGTGCCACCAATCGCAAGCTGCGAATCGTAATCAGCCAACCAATGAAATCATGCAGACGAGAAAGCAAACAGAATCACGTACCCAACCACCCAACGAACACTCCAGCTCCCCGCCCATCCCACTGCAAGCCTGACGCGTTGAAAGAGAACCCGTCCGTTGAGCCATACCCTGCATCGAACACAAGCTCGTTGATACGTACAAAGTTCCACGCTACGCAGAAGACGATCGTCAGTCCACCGTCACCGATCCTTGCTTGGCAATCAGGAAGGGACGAACGAACCGACGTCCAGATTCTCCGAGGGTTCCATGATCATGCCGAAGGGGACGGAGCTGTGCAGGTCGAACTGCTGATGCGTGTCGTTGAGGAAGCCGACGGTGTTGCTGGTGGGGGAGAATGGGAGGAGGGTGGCGTCGCTCAGACCAGGCCCTGTGGTCGTGTTAGAGGAGGCAATGTCGGTGGCATTTTTGACTGAGTGGGGTATAACAGAGGAGGGCGGGGGTTAGCGGACCGGTATGATAGCTGCTGACGTAGAGGTCATTTTTGTCGGCGTTCCCGGCCCCGATTACGCTGGTTTTGAGGTAGTAGCGGCTTGGTGGAGTGAAGGTTGTATTGGCGGTTGAGTTGGTGGGATTGGAAGGGGTGACAGCGAGGGCGAGAGATAGGTTAATAAAGGAGAAGAAGACAGGGAGTGTGAAGTGCATTGTAAGTGTACTTATGTTTCGTGTAATGGTTTTGTTCTTTGAGAGAGAGGAGGTACTCAGGAATGATGGAGCAGGTATCAATTTCACTCCAATCTATCTTTCCACTCTTCCTCAGCGTATTGTTCTAGAGAGGATCGCTGAATACTTTGTGTTGCTCATTGATCCCCCCTGATTCGGGCATACAAGTATCCGACGTCTTGGCCCGTGCTCAACCTCGTCATCCAATAGGGGACTTTTGGGATGCGGGGATAGATGAAACATGCTGGCTTGGCATCGAAGCCGACCGTGACCAACTATCTTGACCTATTGACGCCCCGGAATTAATAAGAACACGATGACTCGCATGCGATGACATCCGACGTAGTAAGCTCGTACTACTACGCGCGTATTTGGAGCAGAGAGTGGAAGCAGGGTATCGAGTGGTCCATTTCTCCCTGCTTCCACATCACAATTCTTCCTTTTGTGGGGAGCTGCATTCTTGATCACATGCAGGGCGCCGTTCGAAACTTCGAGCATATATACGGATATTTCAAACGCTTGCTTAGTTCTCGCGATCCAGTATTCAATTTTGCAGACTACCTCGTCGGACTAAACGCTGTGAAAAAGACTTTTTGAAGAGTAGGAGGCGATGTCGCTCAGGCGTCACAGAACACCAATCTTTGCACGCCACTTTCAGATTTCAGCATAGATCTGCCGAGAAGGAAAAAGCGCTGACGAAGAATAGGGAAGTGCCAAGTACGCTGGCGACGAGTTGTCAGGTCAACTGATTGAGGAGAGAAGGGATACTGTGCACTATGGGTAAAGGATTCGGTTGAATAGATGGGCGAAGTGGAAAATGTGAAATAGAAGCATGCAAAAATAGGGAAACGGATTCGACGCATTTCGTCTCAATGCCTGGGTATCTAAGTATTCATTACCGTCATGAAATTCCTGATTCATTTACAGACCGTGAACCAACCTCACGCACTGACCTGGTCCAAAGCCAGCAAGCTCCTCCTATAGTCCCAGTAGTTCTTTCGTATAGGATCATACCTCCTAGCCAACAACTCCAGCGCCTTTCCACTTCGTTCCTTGTGCTCCTCGGCGGCGTAGACATCCGCCAAAAAATCAAGCGCATGGCTACTTCGCACCTCATCCTCCTTCTCCAAATCCGCATATTGCTCCGCAAACCCCTTCAACTCCACGAGGCCCATGCCCTTCTTCCTCAGCACGCCCCTCAGATAATTCCACGGGGACTGGTTCTGCGGTGCCGTAGAGATTGCAGCCTTTGTGTACTCAATCTCCCGCTCTATTATCTCCGGCGGTACATCTGAGTCTGCGTCGCCATTCTTGATGCTATGCTTCTTCGGATCGGTATGTCGTGCGAACACGACAAACCAGCGGTGGTTCCACGCGCTATTGTTGCGGACATCGATCTGGAGGAGTGATTCAATGTAGGGTAGTTCGAAATTCCAGAGGGAAAAATGCCGGACGAGCCATTGGCGGTAGGACCAGACGTGGTAGTTTTTGGCGTCTTTGGCGAACATGAGGGCGAGGAATGCGGTTTCTCTGGGAGGTAGGGTAGGGATGTGGGACATGACTACTTGGCGGTGGTGCCTGCGTAGTCCGTAAGCTTCAGCTTTTGGCCCGTTCGCGGATTGCGGTATGAGTACCATATTTGAAAGTTCTTGGTATGTTTGAGAGCTACTGTATTCAGCCACTCTAGCTCCTCAAGAAGGTCTTTCTGCAACGAAAATAGCATGTCTGCTCTATAAAGCCTGCCATGTACTTGTCAGTAACCCGCCATTCTGGCCTTCTTTGTTTATGTACCAGACTGTGTAGTGCGCAGGGTTCATCCGGATAATTTCCTCTGTAAGCTTTAGAGCCCTGTCCGACTTCTCGTTCTTGGCCATCGCAGCTCGGAGATACGACATAGCTTCGCTGTATTCTTCGGTATAGGCAATTGCAGCCAAGGGATTAGGACCACCGTCATCTTGAGGGATGGGAACGACATCCACCCATTCGTCTGAGTCTGAGTATTTGCCCATCTTCCCAGATGATGCGTCGAAGAGGTACCATAAGTGGTATGAGGTAATGTAATGAGTGACGCAAGGGCAATCGAAGAGGCCTCGTGGCTTTGAAGGATGATTAATGGCCGCTAGCTTGCCCATTCCTTTCAGAGGAGGGAAATATAGGCTTTTTTAGATTAAATTGGTTGCTAGTCATAGCGTGCATAACTACCTCTACCACTCATTTAAATGGCGTATTACCAAATAACATAATGACCAATGTAGTAATACTGGACTGGCATTTGCGCACTGGACTCAGATGTGGCCTGTTTTTTTTCTGGCACATACTTTTTCATGAGGAAACGCGAAATACAAGGAATCCAAATTCTTTAAAACTGATAAGTCCGGCCACATCCAGAAATCTATACTCCGCACATAGTATAAATTACTTCTCTTGAAATCAAGTCACTTATTTACCCAGCCCTATATCGTATAGAATAGAAAAAAAATTTTTGTCCTCAGTTAATCAAAATATTATTTCGTAAGCTATTACTAAGCTCTAGAGTAGTATTCCTCATTATAACACGCTATCAATGGCCAACGCTTAATCTACAGGCTCTACCAGAAGGCCTAAACGCGCTCTGATAGACGCCTGATCAGCTATCCACTTACCAAAAAGGTAATTAAGGCTTTAAAATAGCATTTCAGCCCGTCTGCTTAGAGACGGATCCCGTGATGCAGATAGAAGTCATGTGACTGCGCTGAGGTATTTTGTCGTTGCAATGGCTTTGGGAGGTGTTTTATGTGGCCATGGGCCACTGTTGGGACTCTGGGAGGCTTCTCCGGCAGTTTCTATCCGCCAAGGCTCTATATCGAATGTAGTTAACACGGTATCATCACTACGAGACTATTTAAGAAGAAGAAGAAATAGTTATTATTCATAAGTCGAAATAGTGAGGTGCTGTCAAAGAACTAGTAGCTTATTGCATTTCTACTTATCATAAGTAGAAGTAACTTTGATAGCCCCTAATAAGGATGAAAAATCTGGTTCTTCCTTGCTACCAAGGCTTCTATATCGGAGAATCCAATTCACCGTTTTTTAGGCCTTATCGGTCTACCACTTCGTGAAAATCGTACCTCTACTACCTCTTCTTCTACTACCTTACCTCTTCCACCTCTTCCACCTTACTATTATTACTGCGGTAAAGGCTTCGGGGTATCGAATGCTACTTAGATACATACAAGTATAAGCCTTTAGATAAGGTTGCGCTAGCGCATCTCTCCATCATATCTCTTTCTGAGGACTGAGGTACTGTCAATCTTTCCCGGCCTTTTCCAAGGAGCCAACAGATAACAACAAATGTATGCTACAGAGCCACATGTTCTCCGAACTTCTGTCTCATTCAATGATGACTCATACAAGTAATCTAAACCGAAGTTTGATTGGAAAGCTTGCACATTGCTTTCTCAATGCTCAAAACTCGAGAATCGAGAACATTTGAGAAGCTTTAACAGATAGATTGATGAATCAAAGCTTTCTACGCTGAATATATACATATGCCTTCGACTTTCTAGACCACAAAATCCTTCCCAAAAGCTCCTCAGTTGCTGTTCACCAACATCCACCCATTCAATTTTTCACGGCAGCAATTGTACATTCAATCTCCTTAACCGGCTTTCGCTCCCAAATCATTTCATATGGCTCACTCTCAGCCCCTTGTGAAGCCTGAGAAGCAGCTCACTTCCTCGCGCTTTGACATGGACTTGGACTCTTCAGTGTTGGACAGCGTTGACTGCACCCCAAAGACGAAGAACCTGATGATGTCCCTGAAGAGAAAGGCCAGTCAGCTACTCGATCAGGGCTCCCCGCATACCACCTCCCCATTTTTGAAGTGGCGCCTCGCAGTGGTGGAAAGCACGCTCAGAGTGAGAGCGGTGCAGAAGCAAGCGCTCTCAGAAGCTAATACATTCTTTGACGACGCTGGTAAGCCAAAGACAGAGTTTGTAGCGGTAGTAAAGGAAGACGAGAAGGCCCTTTTGTCTGAGAAGGTATTTCTCCTGTCCGAGCGAAAGGTTCTCGAGGAAGATTTGAACGACATTGTCACTAGCAGGGAACAGCTGAAAGATGCTTACATCACCGAGCTCAGAATTTCACTTGAGGCTGCCTCAAGTTCAAAGGAGAGATTGCCAGGTCTCAAGGCTCCGAGATTAGACAGGAAGCAATTTCGGGATAGTGTCAACGAGTATCTCGGCACCAAGACTGAGAACCCCGACACAGAAGACTCACGAATATGGTGCAATGTCCTCGGATACTGGTTGGGCTCTGGGTCAGTGAAATGCGCGCACATCGTTCCTTATTCCTGGAACACGAAGGACACGGCCCACATGTTCGGCAGCGATGAAGCCCCACTGACCAGCAGGAGGAACGGACTCAGCCTTCAGAAAAAGATCGAGGAAGGTTTTGACAATTGTTGGATTACCATAGTGCCCGTGGACTCAGTTGAATCTACTCCCACGGAGTGGAAGGTTATTCTTCTAAATACTGCCGAAAGAGACAAGCCCTTCTTCGAAGACATGTCCAAAGAAACCGATCGAGGGTTGTGGAGATGGCGCGACATTGACGGGCGCAAATTGAGCTTCCCCAATGACAATCGCCCTGCCCGCCGCTTCTTATACATGCGCTACGCTCTCGCATGGCTGCACGCCGACGACAAGTCCTGGCCAGGCTTCCAACAAAAGCTGCCGCCCGGAGGAGTTTGGGCAAGTCCCAACAAACCCGATGGATATTTAAGAAAGTCGATACTGCTGGAAGTGGGAAAGAAGACGGGAGACAGGCTGCCAAAGGACTTGGTCAGTGCAGGCATTTTTGAGGATCCTGATACGAGCAGCGTCGTGCATGATGAGGTTGCGGGCATCAGGGTCGCTGAGCTTGTGCAGGGTCATCTAGACGGAATGAGAGATTCCAAGGTGGATGAGGATAGCAGGGAACGTGCTGGGGAGGAGGAAGACCTGATGGAAGACGAGTGAATCAAACGCGGTGACGGCCGCCACCCATGTCTCTGCACGGATGAGAGTGTCTCTGCCTCAAGGGTTTACCTTTTGCACCTCGATCATTATTCCCTCAAGGGTTACCTTTTGCACCTCGATCATTAGCTTCAGGTCTGCCATCAGACCGCAAGGGTAGGAAGCCTCGAACTTGTGGCAAATATAATAGACCAAGAGCTATCAAAGATGCTCATGCACGAAGATTGGCCGATCCCGTGCGTCAGCTTTAGAAGATTCAGTCTGACATAGTTTGTGGTTCTCCACATTTTCGGCTCGAAAAGAAGTTCCGTAATCCCCATCGTTTAGCGACTTGAAGCAATTTTTCCCACAAAAGAAGCCAAATCCGGAGGTGACTCTGCCTTCCAAGTATAACTACACTCATCTTAGGCCGCTCAACCGAGTGTCTAATGCCATCCCCTCATCCGCCACATCTTCCCCGCCTCTAGCTTTGGCACTTGCCAGATGCTCACTCAAAAACTCCCTCATCGCCGCAAGTGGCACGCCATGCCTCATCAGCGTCCGGTCATCCCAACTCGAATGCAACCCCACCAGATTCCCATCCGCCTCCGTCAACAACGGCGCGCCAGAATGACCCCAGTATGTCCATGCATCATGCATCAGCGTGCCGATCTCGGAATTGTCCTGCGGATCGACGCCACGTACCATACCGCGGAAAGCGCCCTCTGAGACTTCTATCAGATTGTATTTAGTCCTTCGCGCAGACGATGACTCCAAGTCATCACGACCAGGTTGGCCTATACAGATGATTGGCGTCTTCGGTGCCGGTGGATGGGACGAAAGGCAAGCGTGTCGAAACGCGGGGATTCGTCCCCTCTTTGCCTCCATCAGTCTCGACCGCCACAATCTTCAACAGCGCCAAATCCCTTTTCGGATCCCACACTCTACACTCAACTTGCACAGCTAAGCCCGTGTAAAATAAGAGCCATCTCCGTCTGGAGTCAGCTTGGTACTCTGTTTCGTCGTCACCGAAGCAGTGCGCGCAGGTCAGGATCCAGCCTGCTGGATCGATGCAGATGGCGGTACCGGCCTCGTGTTGGGCGAAGATGAGAGTGGATGCTAGTGCGTGGAGAAGGCCTGGCGCGTTGGGTAGGGAATGGTCGGTGGAGGTGACGGTGGAAGCCAATTTCGTCTGTTTACGGTGAAGGAGTGTTAATTCCGAGGGCGACAGACCTGGGAGTTTGAAACCTGGTGGGATGATCTTTATCGGCGAGGAATTGGAGCATGTGTTTTGTGAGTTGAATGTGAGTGGTGGGAGAGGGAGAGGTTGAAGTTGCGGCACCAAGGTTGATGTGCTTGGTGTTGGGATGGATGTAAGCTACGCTTGTTAACCGACATTATTGCAGCATCAATAGGGGGGTTTCGAATTAGGGAATCTACATCCTGCATACACTGAATTAGCTGTCTTAAGGCTCTAATTTAGCGGTAAACTCTATACATTTTAGAGCCGTCAGACCCCCAATTCAGTGTCTACATTGAATTGCTAATGCAAGCCCTCGAGGGTGTCTGGGCATGCTAAGAGACGTGTATACACTGAATTGCGCTAATGGATCCTGCGATTTAGGAGGTCTTTTGAAGGTTACCCTGTCGTCACTACCCCGCCTGTCAGCTATGGACCAGACCACTCAGGATCTCCAGACCATCGCCTCCCAGGCCACCCAGGCCACCCAGGCCACCGATCGCGTCAAAGGCCTTTCACTTGGTAGCCCCGTAGACAAAAGCCCCAGAGGCAATTAGAAGCTCCGCAATAAGCGGGCATTTAGGAGTCTTCGGGGGAGTGAACCCCGGAGCACAGGGCATGTTGTCCTTAAAATCGTAGATCTTTCGGGGAAGAGTCCCCGGGATATTGCGATTTTTGCACTGTCTTCGGAGCTCGAGGACGAGCCCCCTAGAGGGGGGAGGCATTATTAGCAGCAGCCCCCACGGGGGCCCTGCGTAGGCCCTACGGGGCCCTATTTGAGTTCAAATAGGGGTGTCTGGCTGTTAAGCGCAAACACCCCCGGGACCAAGCTTTTTAGCTGAGTTGCTAACAATTGCATGGCTGTGTGACTGACAAATGAAGGCATTAAGGCCACTATTCTGCGGAGAAGACTATGCTTACTAAGGCCTCATAGCTACATGGATTAATTAAAAATCAGATAAGGTCCTCACGCGAATATACAGGGAAAACAGCTAATGCAGTGTATATACGGTGAAGTTAAATTGTGGTTAACTCTCTAGTCTGAAACCCTCTAATAGTACCTCCTCATCACTTACTCGACGTTCAGTCATAAATAAATTAACGCTTATTTTAGCTCGCGGGTAATAAAAATATTAAAACGTTAAGCTCGTATTAAATGCGAGCTCGATAAGAAATTATATATATCTTTTTATTTATATAACGTGTAAAGGTCTATAAATTAAAATTATAATTATTTTTTTAATTAGAACTATCGAGTAAATAGATAAGCGAACTTTAATAAGCGATATTTGAATTCCTTACGCTTTAATAGTTATAAGACTAAATTTAATATTTTTTTCTTTTCTAAAAGCCTATATTTTATTCTATAATTTAAAAAAAATCTTAAAATTTTAATAGAAAATAAAAAAGTTATTCTAAAATCGAATATCTCTAATTATATAATTCTTAAGAAAGAAAGAAAAATTCTTATAGTTCTAATATATCTTAAAATCAAAAATTAAAAATTTCAATTTTTCTATATAGGTTTATAATTATAATTAGTTATAATTTAGAAAATTATTTATATATTATAAATAGAGTATAGATTAAATTATAAAATTCTTAAAAGATTTAAAATATTCGTTATATTATAAAATAGAATAATAGCGAATTTTATAAAGTACTCTTAATAGCTTTAGAATAGTCGAGATAAAAAAAATCTTAATATTTATGTATTCTCTTTATACTATAATATAGAGTTATTATATATATTATTAAGTCTCTAATATAATATTATCTATCTTTCTTCTAAAGCGATAGCGATTTATTTATTAATTATATTAAATATATAATTAAAAAAAAAAGTATATTATTAAGAAGTTAGTAGCTATAGCTAAAGGAGCTTACTACTTAAAAGATTATTTAAAAAAAAAGTCTTTTATTTATATAAAGGCTAATCTAACTAGATTAAATAAGAATCTAAAGAAAATAAATATCTTTAATATATTAAAAGAAATAGACTCTTAGATTAAATCTTCTTTATACTCTTATTAGCTTAATATTACTAATAAATTTATTAATCTTAAATTTAGATAATATATAAAGTTAAATCGTTATAGATAAGTTATAGATATATTATTATCTAGAAGAACTTAAGAACTTCGATAAGAAGATCTTAAATATTATTATATTATTCGTACGACGTAAAAAAAAGCGTTCTATCTTTAGAAGATATATTATTAAATTTAATTTAGATTATATCGAAGTATAACTTATAAATATTATCAAAGAAGAGTTTATTATAATCTTTATATTTATTATTAATTTATAGAATTTTATAAAAAGCGCTATTAATACTTCTAATACTTAATATAATAAATTAAAGACTTTAATAGAGAGCTTTCGAACTACTAGTCATAATATTAAGATATTTTAATAATAAAATAAATAATTTAATTAGAATATCGCTTATATTAAGATAAAGATATTAATAATTATTATTTAGCTAAATAATAATAATAATTAATTATTTTATAAGCGAGAAATTAATAATAGACTTCGAGATTTATATAATAGATATCGTATTAATATTATAAAATTTATTAAAGAAAATAAGAAATTTAAGTAAGACTTAAAGTATAAAGAGTAATAGTTAAAAAAGTAATAATCTTATATATTAGCTAATTTAAAAAACTTCGATAAGAAAGATATAAAGTTATATCTATATCTTATTAGTCGAGTATTCTTATTAATAATATCTATTAAAACTTATATTATATCTCTATTATAAATCGCGTAAGAGAATATAGAATTAAATAAATAATATCTCGATATCTCGAATTTTTATAATATTAATAATTAAAATAAGTAAGAATAGCTAGCGTTAATATCTTAAAGCGAAATTTAAATAAAGCGCTATAATCTTTTTATTAAACTTAAGAAAATCGATTATATATAAAGATTATTATAAGTTTACTATATATAATATTATTAAAATAAGAATAAATAAAGATATCTTAGATTTATATTAAATTATTTAAGAAATAATTAATAAATTAGATAATATATTCGAAATATATAATAAGATTATTAAATCGAATATTAAGATATTTAATTTTAAATTTAATATAAAGAGTAATAGATAAGAAGAAATCGTTTAAGAACTTCTACGTATACGATTCTCTATAGCTATTACTCTCTTAAAATTTACTAATATTTATAAGATATTTAATCTAAAACGATTAATCTTTATATATCTAAGATATCGAATTTTAGAATAATCTTTTAATACTTTTTAAGAATTAATTATTTTTCTATAAGTATTAAATATAAATCTTTCGAGCTATTAATAATATATTAGATTTAAAAAGTAAGAAAGATAATTAATAAAATTAATAAGAACTTTATCCTCTCAAATAATTAATATAATACTTTCTTTACTAAAAAAAAATAATATTATTATTACAAAATTTCTATATATAAAAATATAAATATTCTTAAATTATTAATAAATAGAATTTAAAAAGAAGATAGATATTTTAAATATTTAAAGATTAAATATTATTTTAGCGATAATAATACTCTTATATAAGAATATAGATTTATTAATAAAAGAATAAGTTAATATAATTCTAAAAGCCGTCGATATTAAGAAGAAATTCTTTATCAAATTATTATAAGAATTAAAAAATTAAATATCTCTAATTAAGTCGTCATTAGAGATCTAAAAGTTTTATATATAAAAATTAAAGAGTTAGAAATAGAAAGAATACTCGCTTTTATCTCTCTATTCGCGTATATTATTATTATTAAAGTCTCTTTATAAAATAAATATTAATTAAACTTTTATAGAAAAATTATTATATTAATAAAATAGATTAAGATTAATTATCTTCTTAAATATTAAAGCTTTAATATTAAGCTTTATAAATATATCTTTTATTAAAATAAATAAGTTATTTAAAATAATATTAATATAATTCTATAAATTATAATTAGTTAATAATAAATTTAATTTTTATTTTTAATATTATATATATAATCTTAATAAAACTTATTTTAAAAGATTATATAGAAGAACTTTAATACTTAATTATCTTATTAAAATAATTTAATATTATTTTAGAAATACTATAGCTAGAATAATATAACTCTTATATATTCTTTAAATCTAGAATTATTATATTTAATTTAGATTATTATATATTTAACTATTTATTATATAATAAATCTATTACTATTTAAAGTAATAATAAATTTTTAAAAAAGAATTTAAATTATATAGTAAAGATTATATTTAAAAAAAGAATATAATAAAGATTTTTATCTATATCTTTATTAAGATAATTAAAAAATTAGAGAATTAAATTATTATTATATAACTTTAAAACTTTAAATAATTTTTTAACTTTATTAATAAGAAAGCGAAGTTTATTATTAATATCGTCGCTATTATAATAAAAGATTATAAAAAATTCTTTTATAAATTAAAAAAGAAATCTTCAATTATAAAATAGTTATAAAAATAAGTTTTTATAATATATTATAAATAACTAGATATTTAAAATCTTATTAAAACTAATAAACTTTTCTACTTATCGCTTTATTAATTATAAAATATATCTTAAAAAAAAAGTTATTTTATTATCGAAAAGAGCTTATAAACTCTTTAGAGATTAGATATTAATTATAAAGAAATATATTAATAAGATATTAGAAAAAGACTATATTAGATTAAGTACTTCTCTCTATATAATATTTATTCTAATTATAAAGAAACTTAATAGAGAATTTAGATTATATATAAACTATAGAGCTCTAAATATACTTATTATTTCTAATTAAAATACTCTTTTATTAATTAAAAAGACTCTCGCTAAATTATACGCGGCGAAGATATATAATAAATTCGATATTATAGTCGCTTTTAACGAGATTAGAGTAAAAAAGAATTATAAGAAAAAAATTATATTTCTTACTCGATATAGTCTATTCGAATATATAATAATATCTTTCGAGTTATATAATATCTCTTATTACTTTTTAAATATTTATTAATAATATCTTACGCGAATATCTAAATATATTCTATATTATTTATTTAGACGATATTCTTATCTATAATAATATTAAAGATAAATATATTTAATATATAGAAAAGATATTAAAGAAACTTTAATAAGCTAATCTCTATCTTAATATTAATAAATATAATTTTTATATTATTAGA